CCCCGGGAGCCGCAGGCACGTGGGCCGAGCTCACGGTGAGCCACGGCGGGCTCAGGGTAGGTGGGCAGCTGGGGGCGGGGTCAGGGTGGGCGGGGCACTCCTGGGGGCGGCGCTTAGAGGCGAGCAGGTTGGGCCCTTGGCAGTGTAAGACACCTCTCTAGTGGGCCCGAGAGGACTGGGCTTGGGTGCCAGGAGAGTAGGTGGCAAGGAGGAGGGCAGGAAGGCCCTGCCCCCCGGCCTGGGTGGCTTATCACACTTGGCGGGAGCAAGTTCTCTGCCATTTCCTGGGAGGGAGAGCTTCTCCGCTGTTCGGGAGCCCAGGCCCTGGATCCAGCTTTAGGTCCCAGTCTCTGGAGAGCCACCCCGTGCTGAGCGGAGGGCAGCCGAGACCTGTGTGCCTCTGCCTGCGGTGGTCTCGGCGGGCAGAGCACAGGCTGAGCTGGAGGCACACCCTGTCCGACACGCCGGTGGGCAGGAAGGGGTGGGTTTGGGGTTTTGTAACATGAAATCTCTCCTGGGAAGCCCCTCTTCTATCATGTGTGGGTCTACACTTTAACCCTTTGCAGGAAGATTAAGCCGAAGTAAGACACAAAAGTTCACTTCGGCCAGGGTTAGGGCTCTTCTCCAGCACCACCAAATGCAAGTCGCTCTGAATGGTGTGTGCTCGAGGCCTGCAGGTTCCCGGCTGATTTTATAGGCCGAGTCAGGGCTGGAAAGGAGGTCATGCAGCCATCGTCAAGGTCTTACGCTGGCCCACGCGTTGCCAAGAAGTCTGGTGTGGCAGTGAGTGGGCGGACCCTGCCACATGGGCGTGGGATGACCTCTGCTCCTTTGGGGTCAGCGTGGAGCCAGTGCGTCTGGTACTCATGACTGGGAGGGAGGACTTGACGTGGGCAGTGAGGCTGTCCATGTCCGGAGCTGGTCCAGGTGCCCTGTCAGCCCAGCGCCTTAGCAGCCTCTCAGCTTCGTTCTGGAACAAGCGGGCTCTTCATTTCTTTTCCTCGTTGCACCCCACCACCTCCATGACCTGCACTTCACCCTCAGAGCTATCAACGCCCTGTCAGGCCCAGCTGTGGCACCATGCACTGCCAAGACAGGGTGCTAAAACAGGGTCCTCCCAGGCAGAGACCATGGGAAGCCCAGGTTTGATCCCCAGTCCAACCTCCAGGCAGGTACAACAGTGAGCACCTGTAACCCCAGGGACTCCGGCTGCTGAGGCCGGAGGATCGTGCCCTCGAGGCTGGCCTAGGCAACACAGTGAGACCCTATCTGAGAAAAGAGGTGGGCGTTGTGGCATGTGTCTGTGGTCTCAGCGGGAGGCTGAGGCAGGAGGGCCATGGCAGACGCTGTCAGCGATCAAACGCCTTCTATTAGCCAGGCCCTTCCTGGGGTTTTCCACTGCTGCCGTCTTTACTTTGAAAACAATGCCTTAAAAGGTAGGCTGCTGAGATTTCCTCAGGAACAGTCCCTTCTCACACTCCTCTCCTGTAGGGAACAGGGAACAGCCCGCCTGCCCCGCCCCTTAATGAGCAGGAGCTGACACTGTGACTTATTTCAGGAAGGCCAGACTGTTACCAAAACTGTATGTCGTCCATGTGAAGTCCCGAGCGCCACTTCCTGAGACCTCAGCTCGAGTTCAGGAGGGACGAGCACGGGAGACACGGCTGCACTGGACGACCATGACGTTATCCGGGCATCCAGGCCACGCCCTGTGTGGCGGGCCCTGCTCATGTGCTGGTACTACTCTTTGCACTGTTTAAGGCAGCGGCTAGAATGTTCTGAGAGTGATGTGAAGAGGCCCCACACAGGCGAGGAGCTGAAACTCCAGGCCCCTGAGCAGCCGTCTGCAAAGGAGCTCTCCTTCCCAGCTGCCGTGTTTCACGAGCAGCCTCTCAGCTGCTGCGAGCCAGTCCCCAGGTTGGGCCCTGCCAGGGCTATGGTCCGCAGGGCTCCTTCGCTGGGACGGCCCGGGTGTGTGTCTCCACAGTCACACGTGTTTGTAAAAGGTGCACATCTAAGTTGTGTGCTTTCTCTGAAAGAGTTTGTTCTCAGAAATGGCAAAAGTCTCCCGCTCCACAAAACCGGGACCAGAACTAGTGATTTTTAGCGAGGCACATGGGTCAGTGTGCACCCCAAGAACTGGCTGAGGTGCCAGAAGAACTGGTATGCTCCTTTACTCCTCTCCATCACACTTTACCACTAACCGTCAGGGCTGGATCCATGGCCTAGTGGTTAAGGGGGACGGATCCCACATGGCGACTGCAGGGTGAGTCCCGGACTCTGCAGCTCAAAAACACCCCTGGCACGTGAGCGCACGTGCCCAAAATCCAGACAGGAGGAAGAAGCAGGGAAGAGATTCTGGCGTGCCCGTGCTCCACCGGCTGCTCCCCCGTCTGTCTCTAGAGTGCACGTGTCCTCTGGCAGATTTAACACTTGCTGTCCAGACTGTCGGCCCCCCCCAGGGCACGCCGGGGGGGCGGGGGGCAGAATGCCGGCTCGACTTGTGCCGATCACGTGCAGTCAAGTGCTTGCAATGAAAACACAAGTTGGGGTGGGAGCAAAAGCACTCTTAAAGTTAAGTAGTTTAAACATCACCTATCCTTTTTTTTTTTTTTTTTTTTTTTTTTTTTTTTTTTTTTTAGAAAGACAGAGAGAGACAGAGAAACAGAAAGCGAGAAATCACCCCCCGGGGGAATGACCACACTACAATCCCTTCTCCTCCATTCTCTTCTAGGGATCTTGGGTATACACGAACACGCGCCCAACGTGAGTTGAAGCCACCGGGTCGGGGACTCGAACTACAGTCAACTACATGGGAATCCAGCAACACAGCCATTATGCCAACTGCTGGTCCCTCACCTACCTTATTTTCATCACAACTTTTAAAATGTGCATGCTTAGAACTAAGCATTTTAGTGTTTTGTTTGCACCCGTGTATGTGTATTACATGTAAAATAAATACGTGGGTGGGTATTTTTTTAATCTGATAGTGAGGGATGCACCATCAAAAGTCTAGAAACTATAGCTTTAAAGGAGTGTGTAAACAATACCATCTCCACGCAGTAGGAGCGGAATGGGTAGTTACCTGTTGATGATAACGTGTGTAGTTTCCCCAGCTGGACTGGTGAGGAATGTACTTGTGTTGGAACATTCACTTTACAAGCTAAGTGACATATGTAATTGAAGGTGTAAAAGAAATAAAAGTTAAATTTTTTAAAAAAAAGAACAAGAGGAAACTAGGGCGGAAAAAGAAAGCCCCTCCAACTAACTTATTGTAGACATGCCCGAGCTGTAACTCCTAAAATGATCACTTCAACCTTCAGGTTCTATCTGGATTCATACCAAAAGTTCCCGGAAAGAGGGTGGTGAACTGGGCCAGCAGGGGGTGCTCACACACTAGTATGGCTGGTCCAGTCACTTCTTTATGGCATTCAGGAGCCCAGGAAATGGGAGGCTGGGAAAATCAAACGAAAAGGAACTAGAAGTTGCTGAACTTTGAACCTAGGGGGATTTGATCTGAAAGCACGTGTTTAGGAGGGATGAGCACGGGAGAGACCGCTGTGCTGGATGACCATGATGTTAGGGTGGGGGCCGTGCTGGGGGCCGGTCCAAGGAGGCAGACACAAGAGTCAAGAGTGGAAGAAAGAAGGGGAGGGGTGCTCCAAAGACTGAGTGTCCTCTGCCTCCTCTGTGTCCCACCCACCTGCCCCGCACCCCGGCCGACCTGGAGCAGGCCTGCTGTGTGCATCCCACCTGCCCCGCACCCCTGCCGACCTGGAGCAGGCCTGGTGTGTCCTCACCCACCTGCCCCGCACCCCCGCCGACCTGGAGCAGGCCTGCTGTGTGCATGTGTGTGGGAACCTCCACAGGTGGACGAGATACGCTGGAAATGGCAGCACAGTGACTTTTGTCTTCCAGGAAGAAGTGCTTCTGGAAGCAGCAGGCAGCCTGCCCACACTCACATGCTGGCTTCGATTTGAAAACACGGCTGCCCTAGTCTTGTGGGATCGGGGGCTTTTGATGAATGTCTTGAATCAAAGAGCTCAGATATCGGGCACCTGGGAATATGAAGCCAGACTTCACAGACGTGGGGACAAGGTCAGGGTCTGGTGCGTCAGGGGGGGCCTGGGCGAGTGCGATTGGAATCCCCAGGCCATGCTTTTCTGCTCGTCAGGGTCTCAGGTGAGGCCTTCAGTTCCTCAAGTCAATGTTTCCCAGAGAATCCTGTTTCAGGACTGTACGTGCTGAAATAACTCACATGCAGACGCTTGGTCTGTGCTAGCACCGAGTAGATGCTGCCCCCTCATTTTGGCCCCAATCACAAGCTAACGGGCCACAGCCCCAGCCTGAGAAGGAGGGGAGCCCGTGTGTGTTCACTGTCTAATCTCTCTGCTGTGAGGGCCAGACCCCCACGCTGTCCTCGGGAGCCCACTGCAGCTGGTCGTGTCTTCTCTTCAAGGGGCAAATATTGAAAGATTTTGGAACAAGAGACAGACTCACCCAAAGCCGGCTCTGTAAGCCAGGCCTCTTACAGATCCCTGCATTTAAGAAGAAATGACTTAGGTCTTAGAGAAAGCTCTGCCACGGAGACGGCCACCTGTCAGGACTCTCACCGGCACCTAGGTCACACTCGTCCACTCACACGTTCACACAGCCACACTGCCCAGGCATCGCCGGCCTCCTACTCAGTCACTACGGGAGCCTGGGTCAAATGGTGCCAGTTACTTTTCCCATCCCGCATCCCACGGCTGGAAACTGACCCGCCGACGGTGTCTGTGAAGGCAGAGGGCTGCTCCACGGCACGGCCTGGACTCAGACTGCCAGCTTTGCCCAGCGTGGTCCAGGCCCAGGTCTCCATGACTGCCCACCCTGTTGACAGAGGCCTGACACCATCTGCTTCTCCATCTCGCCTCACCTGGCAAGCTGCCGCAGCGTGTGGCACCAAACCAGCGGCCGGGAGGCTAAGAGGACACCTCAGCTGTCTTCAAGGTTGAGATCGATGACCTCAGGAGGTGCCCCCAGTGTGGTGCTGTGTCTCGATGTCTCAAATGGTCCAAATGATGGGCCCTCCAGCTGCATCCCACACTTCCATGGCTGGTCTTAGTCTCGGCTTTAAAAGACTAATCTCGGCTGACCACCCAGTGGTCTCAAAGGACGTTGTGTTGAGTGAAACAAGCTGGATGCGAGGGCAGCCGTGCACAAGTCCACTCACACGGTGACTCTAGACCCTTCCCAGTCACAGAAGAGGCTAGTGGCATGGTGGTTGTCAGGGCGGGGCTGAGGGTGGGACTGGGGCAGGGCCAGGGAAGAGCTGGGTCATAGGGTAGAAGTTTCCTGCTGGCGAGGGCCCTGCCAGGTTGCTGCCTGGTAACCGCCTGAGTCTCGGGGAGCCCCTGCGCCACACAGTGCCCACGGCTAACACCGTGCTGTACCTTCAGAACGTGCTCGAGGCTAGAGTGTGTGTCCCGTGTTCTCATCACAACATACTTCATAGGCACACCGGGCAGGGGGCGGCGGGCCTGTCTGACCTGCGCTGTGGGCTGGTCGGGCCTGAGCGGGTCTCCAGCTCACCGTGCGTGCGCACTGCACGGGACAGCTCGCCTGCCCTCAGCCAAGTGGTTTGGAAATAGTAATAAAAAAATGGCACTTTTTACTGAAATTCTAAGTAATGGAGAGCCCTTCCCTGAGTCTTACCCACAGAGGTTTGGGATGTCCTCGTCATGGGCCTCCCTGGAACGTGGACTTAGAGCAGCACTTCCCGAGGGAGGGGTGTGGCTCCATGTCCGTGGTTACACCATGGAGCCAAGCAGGCCCTTGGCCAAGCCATGCTGGAGCCATCGCACTCCATCCCTGTCGCAGGCTGGGTTGGCACTGTCCTCACCGTGTTCAGTGAGTAGGGGTGGCGGGGAGAGACAGAGACAAAGAGAGGACAGGGGCTGGTGATGTCTAAATTTTAAGTGTCGGAGCTGGGATCTGAATCCGAGTCAAACTCCAGATCCTTCATACCTGACCACAATTCCTTAATGCTTGGGACTAATCAGGGAGAGAGAGACATCTCACTGGTCTGGGCTTTCTCGGATCTGAAACAATGGCACGGGTGGAACTCTGTGGGGTTTGGTGAGCCAGTGGCTGAGGAAAGTAAAGAAAGAGTGAGGTGGGTGGAGTAAATAAGCCAGAGGGGCCTAAACCTTGGCAGGCTGGATCCTTGGGGAGATCGAGAGGGTCCTCTGAGTTTTCTGCCTCTGAGAACTGAGCCGGGAAGTCACTGGGCCAGTGTTTTGCTGCGGCTCGGTGTCACTGCCGTGCCAGCCCTGCTCCGAGAGAGCGTAAGTGTTGTGAGATGTGTCCCCGGCCAGGCCTTCGACGGTCAGCACCGCACAGTAAACGGCAGCTGCAGGGGAGGTGCGAGGGCGAGGCTGGCCATCAGAGGGCAGGTGAAGTGTCCGCGTTTGTCACTGGACTCCCGTGAGGTGCTTTCAGAGGCCACCAGCAGCAAATAAATATATTGTAGTTTGAAATAAAGCAAGAACAGATGTTGCTCCAAGAATCAGGATGAAACTGCAAGTACCAGAACACAACTGCTCAATGTAAAGCGCGTGTTACATCTAAACCACAAACTGGTACGGCACGCATTGGAGTCATTTTTATTATTATATTTAAAAATCATATTTGCAAATGGCAAAAGATAATTTTTGAGGATGATAAATTGGTCTTTTTTTACTGATACATTCAAGAAGCAATTCAGATTAAAGCAATCTTTTTTTTTTTTTTTGAATTTACCTGAGGGCATTACACTCACCGATGAGACGCAGAGAGGGAGAAAGCATCCCCATGGGGCACAGTCACACTGCAGTCCCCCTCCACCTCTCCATCCTGCTGGAGAATGCGTTCGCGTGCCACTGGGAGGGGATCAGAATTTGGTCAGCCAAGGGAGATCCAGCTCTCTTAACCACTAGGCTATGAAGCAGGCCCTAAGATGTTCTTTTAAAAAAGGGCTTGCGGGCTAGCCAGTGGCATGGCAATGAAAGGAAATGGGCCCCACATGACCAACTGTGCAACTAAGTTAGGGTTTGTTACACAGAAAACATGTTTCTTTGTCATTTTACTCATTTTACGATTACGAACTCTCCATCCCTCAGCAAAGGCCTATTGTCATGCGGAAGCTCCTACTAGAACCTCAGGAGACCGAGGCCCCTGGTTCTGAAATATTTCCCTGTGTGACCTTGACACAGAGCTGCGGCTTCTCTGAGCATCGTTGCTTTGTCTGCCTGTTGACACAGAGTATTTGAGTATTTGCTACGTCTCGTCAGGGCATTTGTATGACAGGGCAGTTGGAACTCTTCCCCTAATTAGTGTGGATAACTTTAAGACTGTCTGTAATAATAAACCTACTCACATCCCGAACACACCATTTGACTCACGCCCCACTCCTTGCCCTTGCGCTGTGAAAGTACACACGGGCACACAGACATGATGTTCCAGGGTGGCGAGTGCAGGGTTAGCACTCGGCGAACGTCGGAGAGAGCCTGAGTGCCCATCGAAGACACGGCTGCGCAAATATTTACACGGCGGTGTACTTATACTATCAAATATTGTTCAGCTGTTAAAAGAATTTCTAGAAAAACTTTGTAGAATGTGCGTGTTTTTTTTTTTTTTTAAATAAGAGAAGCAAATTGCATATGGTTGTTGTAAAAGAAAGAAAACATTAACAGAAATGTGGACGCAGTTTTTCTACGACTGGCTACTGAGAATGGCTTGGAAAGAA